CTCCAGCTCTGTCCTGTGCTGAGGGCTCCAGAGCTGGACGCAGGACTCCCGGGGGGGGTCTCAGCAGAGCGGGGCAGAGGGGCAGAATCCCCTCCCTGGCCCTGTGCCCACGCTGCTGGGGATGCAGCCCAGGGCACGGTTGGCCTGCTGGGCCGCCAGTGCACATTGGTGGGTCGTGTCCAGCTTCTCACCCCTCAGCACCCCCAAGTCCTTCTCTTTGGGGCTGCTCCCCATCCCTTCACCCTCAGCCTGTATCGATAGTGGGGGTTGCCCCGACCTAGGTGCAGGACCCTGCCCTTGGCCTTGCTGAACCTCATGAGGTTGGCACGGTCCCACCTCTCCAGCCTGTCCAGGTCCCTCTGGATGCCATCCCGTCCCTCAGGCGCATCGACCGCACCGCTCAGCTTGGTGTCACCGGCAAACTCGCTGAGGGTGCGCTCAATGTTGCAATGTGCAATTGCGTATCTTAGTGTTAGGCCAGGCTCTGACTTCGACTCCTCTGAAACGTCTGCCAGATGACTACAGGGAGCAGCCTGATGGGTGGCCATCTTGACGGGGCGGTTCTCTCGCTATATTTTTAAAAAAGCCAAATGTCTGCCTTCACTGAACAATTTCTAATCCAAGGAAAACTTTCCACCTTGTTCTCGTTTGCCTTTGCTATAATGGACAGAGGGGAAAAAAAATGCAGGTGGAGTGGCAGGGCTGCTGTGTAATTTGGTAGTATTCTGTGAGAAACCTGAATATGTTGCAGGTCCTACTCGAGAGAAGGCTTGCAACGATGCCTGTCCCATTAATCTGAAAGGTCAGGAGGGGCAGCACCTCAGTGTAAACAATGAGTTGAAATTTCGACTGAGGTAGTGAAAATAATCCAAAGAAAGACCACGGAACAATTCAGGGAGAAGAAAATGGGCTTTATAGTGCGAGTCTTCAGCTGAACTCTGTGTCTGAAAGTAGAGTTAGGATGATATCTTTGCTTCCCCCCGCTGTAAATAGATTTTTTTTCCTTACTTGGGAGAATAAAAACCAGGTGATCTGAATGTCCAAGCGTCACAACTTTGCTGACAAAGCTATAATGAGATTCGATTGCTGGGAGCTGAAGTTGTACAAAACCAGTCCTGAAATAGGATTTGATTTTTCTCTTTGTGAAGGGGATTAAATATTTGGTAGGGGCTGGCCGCGGAGCAACTCTTGGTGTCTTGACAGACAGTAGGGTGAACAGCTCAGAGGTGCTTTGAGATGAGGGGATGGAGGTGCCCACCCTGGGGTTTGGTCTTTTATCAAAGCCAGCGGGGAGGGGTGGTGTCGGGCAGTGTATTAAACTTTTAAGAATTCTAGGAAAGAAGTTCTGCTATAAGAGATGAATATAAACACTTGCCGTGAAGTTGTGACCTGAACTTACTCAAGAGAATTGCTATAAAAAAGTAGAATTTTGCATTTTTGTTAGTCACACTGCATGTAATACAAGGCCGTGATTTCCAAGGTGCATCTCCCAGACTCCCTGGGGCTCCTGGCATTTAGCCCAGAGAAAACTCTCTTGTTTTGTCTACAAAACGGACCGTGCTCTCTGTACTGAACACAGAAAGCATCCGGTTACCGATAATTTGGTGAGAACTCTCTGGGAAGGGTTAAAACACACATAGCTGTGGTGTGGTTTTCTAGATACTTGTTCAAGGACTTTATTTCAAAATTTTGGCATTCTTAGTAAGACTTATGGCCAGCTCAGGTTTTTCCAGAGATTTTTTGTTTTGCCTTTCATGAGGAGAAAGGAGAAATTTCCTCAAAGAAGGTGTAATGTCTGCAAAGCTGTGATTTGATTTCATCTGCCTTTCTCAGCCAAACCCTCGCAGCTGGTGCAGAACCCGTCCCTAAACCAGATGGCTTGGAGTTCCTGGCCTAAATGTGCTAATAAGATCCGGGACTTTGCCAAATTCTGCAGGATGCTGGGATAAAGTTGCTCGTGCGTGAGCTGAGCTCCTGACGCGCAGCATTGGTTTATCGCGTTTCGCTTACTGGAAGAAAGAAACTTGCCTTTGCCCCAGTGCATTTAAGCACTAAGCTGCCTTGGGCTCGGAAAGGTAGAGGGGAATAAGTCAACGCTGCAGCCAGAGACTTATCAAATACTGTAACGAATGCCTGAGGTGACGGCAAGAAAGCCGCCGTATTTTTAAGGACACGAAAGTGAGATTTGTTTTTTCTTTGCCCAGATCATCATGCACGTGTTCTGCACTTACCTCGACTCCAGGCTGCCGCCTCACCCCAAGTATCCCGACGGCAAAACCTTCACTTCCCAACACTTTGTTCAGACGCCGGATAAGCCAGGTACTGGCGCTCACCTTTAGCTGCTCTTTGCCTCGTGGATCGCGTCAGCCCCCGTGAAATCCCCATCGTCTTGTTGTCGCGTTAATTTGGCAGAAAATAAACCCCCTTGCGTTCTAACTCTCCTCACCGGAGTGTGAGGCTGAGTGCGGCTAGGTTTAAATTCTGAGTGATATCCAATTTGCCACTGCCAGTCCAGCCGCGTTTAATACGTATATTAAACTGCCACGATTCTGGGTACACTCATAGCAGTCTGCACCTTCAGTCCAGTCGTGCTTGTGAACTGGCATGGCTGCGTTTGGTCACGTTCAGTGAGAAACTGGGACAACTTGCTGCTGAAACAGGGCAGTTTTATTTGTGATAGAGGTTTTCTGAATTGCCGGTGGTAGTGACTGTCTGCAAGAAAGCACGTGCAAATATAAAACGCATGAAAAGGTTATAAATAATACAGCCTGGCTATAGACATTAGGGAGTAACTATTCCTGAGAAAAGCACTTAGTTTAAGTTTCACCCAAGGTGTCCCAAGGCAGGGAGAAGCAAGGTTCAGCCCGTCGGCCGCTCCCAGCTGTCGGAGGCAGTCTGAGGTGGAGTTTCCCTTGACTTGCTCACGCTGTTATCTTCTTTTCCTCTGAAAATCTACAGTGTTCTCTTCTTCTCTGAAAATCCCCCATTTCCCTGGCTATTTTTATATCCTTTCTACCTTTAAGGTGGAGTTTGAGTGACTGTAGTCATACACACCTTTTATCAGGATTGGTGTAAAATTCTCTCGCTTCACGTTTAAAGGCATAGGTTATGAAAAATCGAGGGTGCAGACTCGAAGAGGGGTGGTCGCACCTCGAAGGCGGGGAGCCTTCAGGATGGAGGTGTGTTTTGGTATTAAAATGATATTAAAACGAGCAAAGTTCACGAGAGGATAGCACTTTGGCAAGGTTTCGAAAACCTGTTGGCTCGGGGGCCAAGATGAGCTGCTTGCCAGTTCTAGAGGACCATTTCTTGCCGCTTTATCATCGCGGAGCAGGGACACAGAGTCTCTACCCCGCTCCATCCTCCATGGTGTGTGGCAGGGAGTTGCGGTGTGAGTGGATTCCTCGCGTGCCTGCTGCAGCCGTGTCCCATCCTCACAGCTCCTCTGGATTTTATGCTTTTCCTCAATGGGTGAACACTGCTACGTTTTCGTATAAACCTTAATTTTCAGTAAAACCTTAATTTTACTAACAATTCCACACTTGTAAACTTCTCTTTCGCAGACACTTCGAATGAAAACGTGTTTTGCATCTACCAGAGCAGCATCAATCCGCCCCACTACGAGCTGATCTACCAGCGCCACGTCTACAACCTGCCCAAGGTACGATGGTCTGAGCGGCGTTCTCCTGCCGCCAGGAAACCACCGGCAGGTCTGACTTGGGGTTTGCTTTTCTTTTTTTTAAGAACTAGCCCCATTTATTGACTCTTTACACGTGAGCTGGCCCAATGCAGGAAGCAAACATGAGCTTGCTTTTTGACCACGATTTAGTACTTGGTCTGCTGCTAAAGAATAGCTTTAGTGTCTATTTAAGACACGCAAATACCTAGGTAGTAGCTTCCTCTTGTTGATTTTCTGGCAATTTCTTTTAAAACACCAAGTCATGTAATCCCTGATGTGCGTTGTCACCCCTTAAGGCCAGCAAGCCCGGTGTTTGTCCATGGAAATTCTGCGGGGAAGCATCCAGTCCCAAACCAGCGAAATTTTCCTGCGGGTTTCCATTTTCCTGCGGGTTTCCGTTTTATATTGATCCCTGGTTGTTGCTGGATCTTTGCTTTCCAAAAAGCTTCAGAGTTTAACACGTGTGGAGACGATAATCCCACCAAAACCAACGTTTAGCCTTTCTCTGGTATTTACTTGATTGAAAAAAGGAAAGTATGAAGGCAGAAAGCCCGCCAGCCCGCCCCGTAATGGCATTTCGTGATGACTTTCTCTGTAGCCGCCTACTCTACCTGAAATATTGCTGTGATTTCTTGTTGGTGACGTGATTTCCATGTTCTGCTCTTTTCCTGTGGATTCAGGGCAGAAACAACATGTTCCACACCTTGCTGATGTTTCTGTATATCATAAAGACGAAAGAATCCGGGATGCTGGGGTAAGTACCCACCGTTACGGGTCATGGCACTGTGTGAGCTGCGAACAGAATCCCAGTATGGCAGGGGTTGGAAGGGACCCCTGGGAATCACCCAGTCCCACCCCCTGCCGAAGCGGGGTCACCCAGAGCAGGCTGCACAGCACCGCGTCCAGCCCGGTCTTGAATATCTCCAGCGAAGGAGCAGGAGACTCCACAGCCTCCCTGGGCAGCCTGGGCCAGGGCTCCGTCACCCTCAGAGGGAAGAAGTTCTTCCTCGGGTTCGGCTGTAGCTTCCTCTCCTCCAGTTTGTGCCCGTTGCCCCTTGTCCTGTCGCTGGGCACCACTGGAAAGAGTCTGGCCCCGTCCTCCTGACCCCCACCCTGCAGATATTCAGAGGCATTTCGAAGGTCCCCTCGCAGCCTTCTCTTCTCCAGGCTGAACAAGCCCAGCTCCCTCAGCCTCTCCTCGCAGGAGAGATGCTCCAGTCCCCTCATCATCCTCGTAGCCCTCCTCTGGACTCTGTCCAGTAGCTCCTCATCTTTCTTGAACTGGGGAGCCCAGCACTGGACACAGCACTGCAGATGGGGCCTCAGCAGGGCAGAGTAGAGGGGGAGGAGAACCTCCCTCGCCCTGCTGCCCACACTCCTCTTAATGCACCCCAGAATGGAGCGTCCGGTTTCGAAGCGCCTTGTCCGAAGGCACTTCAGTCTGAAGGCGCTCCAGCGGGATGATGGTAATGGAGATAAAATCGCCTTCTCTGAAACAACAGCAGCTTTTGTGTAAAATTGGGTCAGTCTTAGGCGTGCATGCAATAAAAGCAGTGTCCAGATTCCCCTTCGTTCTGAAAGAGCCGCGTTCCCTGCGCAGCGAAGCGTGTGAAGACGTGTTAAAAGGCTGGAGTGCACAACTTTCTCATTTTCTCAGTTCACCTTTTAAACGGGCACTTTAATGTACGCGAGATTTACCGTGCCGACTTCTGTTCTCGCAGGCGTGTCAATCTTGGCTTGTCGGGAGTCAACGTCCTGTGGATTTTTGGCGAGTGACATCTCCAGCGGGACGCCGGCTCCGAGGAACGCCGCTCCTCGGGCGAGGTGAACTGAGCACCAACTTAAACACGGACTTGATAGGAAATGGAGTTGCATAAGCTCCGCTTCGCGGGACGTGTCTGCTGCTCCTCTGCCGGGTTTGGGACGATACCGTTTAAAACATTGCCCTGTCGAAACGCCGCTGCGTAGGAACGCCAGGCGGGGTTTCTTTTTCCAGCTCCGCAGCCGAACGGATCCCGTTTACAAAGCCTTTTGCCTTTTCCGTTCCGTGTCCCTGGCCGCGTCGGCACCGCTCCAGACAGGCACAGGAGAAGCCAAGTCAAAAAGCGCAGACTCGTTTTGGTTCGTTTTATTATGTGTGAGAAGAAAAACATGATTTTTTTTTTTCTTTATTTTATAATCCCTGCCTATGGTTTTTTTTAACGGCTGCTTCTTGGTGTGACTGGGTTTTCAGGTGTCAGGGGTCTGCGCTGCAGGTGCGAAGGAAAGGGAAAACCGTGTTTGACTTGCTGGTTCCAGTAAATTTTTTTAATTTTAAATTTTATTTTTAATTGTAAATATGTTTTTGAATTTTTAATTTGTTTTAATTTTATTTTTTATTTTAAGTTTGTTTTTTTGATTTTTTCATTTTGTTTTTTTAATTTTTTTTCATTTTAAGTTTGTTTTTATTTTTATTTTTTTCATTTTAAGTTTTATTTTTTTTAACAAAATACGCGTGCCATCCCACCTGGCGGCCTCGCGAGCTCTGAAATACCGGGTGTCTCCAGTACCACCGCAGCGTTACCCCACTTTTGCTTTTTCGTAATTGATTTTTACAGCTCCCGTCGGCGTTTTCCTGCGCGTAACCTCGTGTTGCGGGAGCGTTACCGACTGGCACGTGGCTTCAGCGCCTCGGTGGGAGACCGGGCTCTGCAAACCTGCGGACTTTTTAAGTCCCTGCTTTTGGGGATTTACCTTTTTTTGGGGAAAAAAAAAACCCCACTTGGATTTGTTTCAAAGAAGGGGCTGTTTGATATTTGCCAAAAATCCTTTTTATGTAGGGGAGGGAGGGGAGAATCTATTTTAAACTCTGACAAATGAGCATTTTAGAAGTGTACATAGTTCATTTTAGTAGCTTTTTTTTTTTTAAGGGGGATAAAAATCTGTTAACACTGAGACTCTGAAGATCTCCGAGCTGAAGACGGGGGTGGCGGCTCATTTCCGCTCACCCCATCTCCGTGAACAACCCTTCCCCCCACCCTAAACTGCCCCAAACCCATCATAAACTGCCAAAAATTCTCCCCTCGCAGCCGTGTTTTGTTATGAGAACACATTTTCCTCCGGTATTTTTTGCCGCGCTGGGGCCAGGTGCGCTCGCTCTGTATCTCTGCGCGGGGGGGGAGCCGCTATTTTTCGGTGTGAACCCCAGGGACGGAACCCACGGGACGCGCGGGGTTTTCCCGAGGGGCCGATAACGAAACGGCTCCTCCGGTTCCCGGATTAAAGGCGTTGGTTTTGTCGGACGCTTGTTTGAGTTTTTCCGGGGATTCGGCATCGCTAAATCCATCCGTGTGCCATGAGGGGACGTGTGAGAACCGGGTGTAGGTGGGCTTCACCCCGAATCTCGTCCCCCCAGGGCAGTGTGGGGCTGTCCCCGTTGCCTTCCGCCCTGTGAGCTCGGTGACGCTCGGCTGCTCGAGGCTCCCCAAGGGCTGAAATTTTCTAATTCGACCCAAAAATGGGTGTTTCTCGAGAAGAGCCTGTGCTGCGGGGGCCCCAGGCTCCTGGAGGCCCAAGACCCTGTGCAACCTCTTCCCCAGAGCCTTGTGCACCCCGATAATGCTGCACCCCCCCATTCCTGTGACCCCAGTACGCCGTGGACCCCCGTCCCTGTGCACCCCAGATTCTCCTGCACCCTCCTCCCAGCGCAGAGCCCCACCTGCCCCAGTACACCACGTCCCCTGGAGCTCTGCGCACCCCCAATTCCTGCGTACCCCAGTCCTCGTTCACCCTGAAACCTCCGCCCCCCGAGGCACTGTGCACCCCGGTTCCTGGGTGCTGAGGTCCCTGCGCACCCCGATCCCTGTTCATGCGTGCTCCCTGTGCACCCTGACGCACCACGCACCCTGGTTACTGCGCACCCCAGTACCTGTGCACCCCGATACACCGTGCACCCCAGTTCCTGTGCACCCCCATCCCTGTGTACCCCAATACACCGTGCACCCTGGTCCCTGTGCACCCCAATACATCAGACACGCTGGTTGCAGTGCACCCCTGTCCCTGTGTACCCCAATATACTGCTCCCCCCAGTTCCTGTGCACCCCTGTCCCTGTGCACCCCGATACACTGCGCACCCCGGTTCCTGTGTACCCCGATACAACCGCACACCCCAGTTCCCGGGTATCCCTGTCCCTGTGCACCCCGATGCATCATGCACCCTGGTTCTTGCATGCCCCAGCCCTGTGCACCCCTGTCCCTGTGTACCCCATTACACCGCGCACCCTGGTTCCTGGGTATCCCTGTCCCTGTGTACCCCGATACACTGCGCCCCCCGATTCCCGGGTATCCCCGTGCCTATGTACCCCAATACACCGTGCACCCCGGTTCCTGGGTATTCCCGTCCCGGTGCACCCCAATACACCGTGCACCATGGTCCCTGTGCACCCCAATACATCAGACACGCTGGTTGCAGTGCACCCCTGTCCCTGTGTACCCCAATATACTGCTCCCCCCAGTTCCTGTGCACCCCGATACACTGTGCACCCCGGTTCCTGTGTACCCCGATACAACCGCACACCCCAGTTCCCGGGTATCCCTGTCCCTGTGCACCCCGATGCATCATGCACCCTGGTTCTTGCATGCCCCAGCCCTGTGCACCCCTGTCCCTGTGTACCCCATTACACCGCGCACCCTGGTTCCTGGGTATCCCTGTCCCTGTGTACCCCGATACACTGCGCCCCCCGATTCCCGGGTATCCCCGTGCCTATGTACCCCAATACACCGTGCACCCCGGTTCCTGGGTATTCCCGTCCCGGTGCACCCCAATACACCGTGCACCATGGTCCCTGTGCACCCCAATACATCAGACACGCTGGTTGCAGTGCACCCCTGTCCCTGTGTACCCCAATATACTGCTCCCCCCAGTTCCTGTGCACCCCGATACACTGTGCACCCCGGTTCCTGTGTACCCCGATACAACCGCACACCCCAGTTCCCGGGTATCCCTGTCCCTGTGCACCCCGATGCATCATGCACCCTGGTTCTTGCATGCCCCAGCCCTGTGCACCCCTGTCCCTGTGTACCCCATTACACCGCGCACCCTGGTTCCTGGGTATCCCCGTCCCTGTGTACCCCGATACACTGCGCCCCCCGATTCCCGGGTATCCCCGTGCCTATGTACCCCAATACACCGCGCACCCCGGTTCCTGGGTATTCCCGTCCCGGTGCACCCCAATACACCGTGCACCATGGTCCCTGTGCACCCCAATACATCAGACACGCTGGTTGCAGTGCACCCCTGTCCCTGTGTACCCCAATATACTGCTCCCCCCAGTTCCTGTGCACCCCGATACACTGTGCACCCCGGTTCCTGTGTACCCCGATACAACCGCACACCCCAGTTCCCGGGTATCCCTGTCCCTGTGCACCCCGATGCATCATGCACCCTGGTTCTTGCATGCCCCAGCCCTGTGCACCCCTGTCCCTGTGTACCCCATTACACCGCGCACCCTGGTTCCTGGGTATCCCCGTCCCTGTGTACCCCGATACACTGCGCCCCCCGATTCCCGGGTATCCCCGTGCCTATGTACCCCAATACACCGCGCACCCCGGTTCCTGGGTATTCCCGTCCCGGTGCACCCCAATACACCGTGCACCATGGTCCCTGTGCACCCCAATACATCAGACACGCTGGTTGCAGTGCACCCCTGTCCCTGTGTACCCCAATATACTGCTCCCCCCAGTTCCTGTGCACCCCGATACACTGTGCACCCCGGTTCCTGTGTACCCCGATACAACCGCACACCCCAGTTCCCGGGTATCCCTGTCCCTGTGCACCCCGATGCATCATGCACCCTGGTTCTTGCATGCCCCAGCCCTGTGCACCCCTGTCCCTGTGTACCCCATTACACCGCGCACCCTGGTTCCTGGGTATCCCCGTCCCTGTGTACCCCGATACACTGCGCCCCCCGATTCCCGGGTATCCCCGTGCCTATGTACCCCAATACACCGCGCACCCCGGTTCCTGGGTATTCCCGTCCCGGTGCACCCCAATACACCGTGCACCATGGTCCCTGTGCACCCCAATACATCAGACACGCTGGTTGCAGTGCACCCCTGTCCCTGTGTACCCCAATATACTGCTCCCCCCAGTTCCTGTGCACCCCGATACACTGTGCACCCCGGTTCCTGTGTACCCCGATACAACCGCACACCCCAGTTCCCGGGTATCCCTGTCCCTGTGCACCCCGATGCATCATGCACCCTGGTTCTTGCATGCCCCAGCCCTGTGCACCCCTGTCCCTGTGTACCCCATTACACCGCGCACCCTGGTTCCTGGGTATCCCCGTCCCTGTGTACCCCGATACACTGCGCCCCCCGATTCCCGGGTATCCCCGTGCCTATGTACCCCAATACACCGCGCACCCCGGTTCCTGGGTATTCCCGTCCCGGTGCACCCCAATACACCGTGCACCATGGTCCCTGGCACCCATGGGTCATGGGGTCTCCTGGGTCCCGTCTCTGGGGGGTGGCCCTGTAGGTGGTGGGGACATGGGTGTCCCCAGGAGAGGTGACGCTCGTGTCCCCGCAGGGCGGCTCTGCTGGGACCTGGCCGGGTATTTCCTCTGGCCCTTCGGCAAAGTGATCCAGAAAGTGGAGGTAACGGCGTGCCCCGAATCGGGACCCCACCGGGGGATAAATCGGGGTGTCCCATGCCGCACCCTGACACCCACCCCCGATCTCCCCCAGGTCCCCAAATCCCACCAGGCGCC